GGCTGATCTAAATTAAGTTTTCATAATGTAATAAGCAGAGATACAAAGTTGGCTGAATTAGTAAATTAGCAAATTTGAAACACAAAAAGAGTTGTATATGTATATTTTTTATTTAGATCAGCCTCTATAGGTACACCACAGTCACCGGTTTTTGGCCTGCTTTAAGGCAAAAATATAGGACAAGTCTCCAAAGGCTTCAAAATGCTTGTCTCAATTTTTTTTTGGGCAAAAATGACGATGTCCACCATTTTTATATCTTGCAAAAAATTTTATTACACATTCAATAATATTTTCAGAACTACCATATCACTATATTTTTATTTATTTGCTTATTTATTTTTTACCATTTTTTCGTTATAAAAGTTCTTATGGTTCTAAGTGAATTTTATTTTACCCACAAGGAAACAAATAAGCGAAACTTGTTTTGAATTTCGATATCGATTATCGATTCCGTTACGAAGTAGAACATTGCCTATTTAATATCCCAAGTTATTTCTGGATACTACAAATGAATGAACGGCTGCCGTGGTTAAGAATTCAATAGGCCTTTAACTATCATATTAAGGCTCTAATCCACGTACATATTTTTTACATTTTCGAAAAATCTGTTTTAAAATTATTGTTTTTTCCTTTGTCATCATCTTTTTTAAAGTAAAAATTTCTAAATTAAGTCGTCCTCCATTAATAAAGTTGGCATTAAAAAACAGTATATCTTAGACATCTATCATATGTGACAACTTTCTAGCTTTCGATATCGATATTTTTTTCAAATGGGTGTGATGTGTGATAATTAATTCTGATGTCATCCCTCTTGACATGTCAGATATTCCTGGCGAAAATATGAAAACCCGAAAAAGTATAGCTCAGAAATGTTATTTAGGGTTATCCAAGAATATTCTGGGAGATTTTCTATTCAATCTATGGTGTTTCGAAACGGATATAGTGGGAGGTAGTTTTTATTCTGCACTTTAAAAGCGAGAGTTGGAAGGGAGAGGTTAAATATTTACTCGCGTTTATCCCGATTTTATGCGACCGAATTCGGTCTACCCTTAACGTAAAGATTTTCTTTTGCCCTTGACTACGCTTTAAGCGTTTTGTCCTGACCCCTTCTGAAGAAAGTTAAGCAGGGAGCATCGAAATAACGTACACCGATGAAAATGAAAAAATAATTGCGGCTCGTTTAATAAAGAGTTATAATCCGCGGCGCATCTATTAAGAAAATATTTTTTTTGCTATATTTTTGATGGTTTGGGACCATGGAAGCATATTTTCGCTCGAAATAAGGTCTAAGTTTAATTCTAGAAAAAACATTCAACAAAAATTTGTGCACCTACATTTGGCAAGCTTGCCAAAATTACATATGGCTATTGCACTCAAGAAAATGGCGGCTTACGAACTAATAAGTCTAAAGTTGAACAATTCACACGCCGATAGACCTCATTGACCTCCATTTTTGACAAAAATTTCAATATTCTCGTAGAATGTACATTACATTACTTATGAAAATAAAATTAAGTTTGAATGTGCTACAAGATGTTGACATTTCCCTTTGAAAATATCGTTATCTAGTCATTATCGGCACCTGATCGATTGCTGATTGTGGTCCTTTAATTCTACCATTGATCAAGATAGAAACTTTTGTGTGTCGTTTCTAGACGCCCTAGTGAGTAGACCTACTGGAGCCATCAGCACATATGTATATCGATAACCAACACGCACCATGTCGAAATCACACTCTCATCCTTAACGATTTCATATGCAAAAGGTATTCCAGAAAATATCAGGCGAATAGCGAAAGGACATAACATCGAAACAGTTTTCAAGTCCGGAGCGGAGGAAAAGGAGTGCTTTAACGAAAACCAGACCCGAAACGTTAATCAAGAGCGCCTTGTGAATGCAGTAAGTCGTATTCATATATTGTAGAAACGAAAAGCCTAAATGTTGTGGACTCTTTAAGATAAGAAAAGGAAGATGAGTATCTTCGCCCCAGGTCTGATCGGAAATTTCTAGAATCAATAAAATGAAAGCAAAATATTAACATTGTTTTTTGCCATATAACGGAATAATACCAGCCATGAATTTTATATTTTTATTATTTTTTTACAGCAATAATAATATTATATCGCTTTGGATAGAGATTCTTCGATATCATTTCATCAAAATTATCAATATCTCTTATTACGAATTAAAAGATACAGGGCGTTAAAAGTATGTTAAAATTTATGCAATAACTTTAAAGAACGAACGAAAAATTTATATAAACGGGGTCTGCAAAACCTTCGTTTGTAGGATACACAGTGATAAGGTCTTATTTTTATTTTTGTTTCCATGAAGGAACTTTTTTTATTGTTTTTTTTTTTAATTTTTTGTACTAAAGGGGTCTGTAAATTAAAAAATATATGTCTCAGTCATTTTTACGTAAAGTAGATCCTTGATCAGCAGTTCGGGTGGTGTCGCTTTAAATGGGGAAATTTTTATATTTTTTTATAAATTTAATCACGTTGCAGAAAGAAAATTACGTATTTAAGATGCTTTCTTTATTGTATGTTGTTATCTCATTCAACAACATAACAAAAATACTTAAAATATTATTGCCTTGGGGACTAACGTTTTGTAAGGGGGTGTTCATATAATTACGGTGTTATATCACGTAATTAAAAATTTATTCACTTATTTCGAAACGGACGAGGTTGCCTTTAATTAAATTTAATTAATTTAATTAAATAAAATTTATGTTACTAGCTGTCGTCAATATTCCGGTAAAAATTTTAAAACGTATAACCGTATGTAAAACATTCTTTCATTTTGCTCCGTTTCTTCTATAATTTTCCTGCAAAATATTGATTTTAACATTACGAGCTGTTGTGCCAAAACAGAGGGGTAATGCCTTCTTTATTATAGGGAGTCTTTCTACGGTCGACGTGATTTTCTAGTTATCAGATTGGCTTTTAGCCCTACATATTTCCATTAAATTTTCATTTAACTTTGAAAATATCCGAATTCTTTTAGATAATTAATATCGGGGTAGGACATCACGAACACATTTTGTAATTAACATGGGTATTCAAGGAAATTATGCAAGTGTTGAACAAACATTAATTAAACTGCATATAGAAAGTTTACGAAAAGGCTTTTTGAATATGAAAAGCCATCCAACTTTGGGATCTTATTTTCATGACGAAATTAATAAAAAAATAAGCACACTCGAAAATCAGTAATTTTTTTCGAAAACTGTTATTTAGAAAGTAGATTACTGAAAACTGACTATTTAAAAACAATGCGCTTGAAATTGCGTGAAATTAAAGATGGTGTCAAGAATTCGAAATATCGAGCGAGGACTGACACTATAAATAAGTAATAGAAGAAGGTGTAGACAAGCTAATAAATAATAGAATTCCACGAAACTACGTAGTAAAATAATAATTAATATGATGAATACATAGACATTTTTGAAAAAAAAAATTATTTAGAAGAAAAGTTAACCTGGTGATTTAAATGGTATCCGTTGTTAAGTTTAAGGACGATTCGCCGAGATTTAGCATTTTTTCTCAAAAGAAAATTGATGGTAGTTTAATATGAAAACCGAACCCCAGGGTCTATTGAGATGTTCTTAATTGTGGTTTCCAAAGGCCTGCCAGTTCATCTCACGCGTGAGGCTTGGAAAGTGTCACAATCCAACTCATAGGCGCCATTTCTCTTCACAATGTCATCGTATCATGCTTGACGAGCTTAGAACTCGACACTCTAAGTATAGACTGATTTTATTACGATTTTATAGGAAGCCATATACCTAAACAAGATGGCGAAACATTCGGAAATCAAATGTAACTTGTGCAAAAAGTAAAAATTCATTCTTGAAAGGACACTAGACAACATGGGGAAAAATCGCTTTCTTCCATTAGATTAACTCGAAGTTTTACAAAAATTACTTCTTTCTAACATTTTGACAATATAAAAGTGTAGGAAATTGATTGCTAAAATTTGCGTCACCATCTAAAAATGTGGATGCAATTGAAGTAATGGTGGATTATTGGATTTTTATAAACGAATTCGTGAGAGACTGGTAGACTGTTAATTTAATGCTTTTTCTGCATTTAATATATTTTTTCCGTCACACGTGAAACACCATTTAGTAGAACAATATCTTAACATTAACATTAGTAGAAAACGGATTTTATTTGCGAATAATTCCTAATTTAATAATTAACATTTGAATCTCCGAATTATAATTTAAAATTAAAATTATAAATTTTGCAGAATAACTGAAGAAAAATCTGCAACAACAAAAAAGTTTATTTAATTTGTGGTAAAGTTTTTCTTCTATTTTATAACAGTGTTTGTTTTTTTTCCATCACACGTAAAACACCAATTAGTAGAACAATAATTTTAATATTATTATTAGTAGAAAACGGATTTTATTGTCGAATAATTTTTCATTTATTAATTAAAATTTAAAATTAAAATTAAAAATTTTGCGGAATAATTGAAGAAAAATCTGCAGCAACAAAAAAGTTGAAGTAAAATTGCGTATTTAATTTGTGGTAAAGTTTTTCCTCTATTTTATAACAGCGTTTGTTTTTTTTTCCATCACATGTGTAACACCAATTAGAAGAACAATATTTTAATATTAACATTAGTAGAAAACGGATTTCATTTTCGAATAATTATTAATTTAATAATTAAAATTATGAATTTTGCAGAATAATTGAAGAAAAATCTGCAACAATAAAAAAGTTGAAGTAAAATTGCCTATTTAATTTGTGGTAAAGTTTTTCCTCTATTTTATAACAGCGTTTGGCGTTCGGGTTGCGAGACTTTGGTATAAATAGAAAGACGCGCGAAATCTAAAAATCAAAAAGGCTTTTACCCACGTTTCATTCCAAACGCCCGGCACGCAGTTTCCAATTATATTTCCCTCATTCGAGGACTAACCCTACGGAAACCATAGCGCGATAGAACGAAGAACGGGGAATTAAAGGGCGGAAAAGGCTCGAACTTACCGTAAAATCTCGGATGGGTATCATCTTGCGCGAAAGTCCACATCAACCCAACCAAAGCAATTGCCAAGTGCAAACATATAACACCCATCATTTATTTATCGTTTATATTTATAAGTTCTCAAGTTTACACTTACTTAAGTCTAACACCGAAAACGTGGACTATTTATTATTAAACACCGGAAACACACAAAACTAAGTTATTAAGTTCTGAAAATTGTCGATTTAAATGTTTTCAACGGTCACTTTGTCTGTGGGCCATATATATGTATAAAAAAAAAATCTCGATAAAGATTGATGAGAGTCGTCGGGAGTTCGAATTCGTACGCACGTATCGAAACCATCTGACGGAGTACGTCCGTGTACGGCAGCTTTATATCACATTGCCAGAGATACTTGCCGTCCCCAATAAACCGACAGTTCACCCTCTGAGAAGTGCGGACTTGCGCCTTCACTTCTATGGATCTCGTGTTGCGCAATCGTGTCATTCCCGCCGTTATTTCAGCGAAATATTTACGATCCGTATAATTATTTAAATCACAAATTTGTTTTCTTTCGATGACTAGTCGATCGATAATTGCGGATTTCATCGTTTTGATTTCAAGGGCGATCGCGTACACTCGCAAAATCAGCATTAAAATCGATTGATTTAAAACGTTATTTAAATCGCATTATATTTATACCGGCTGTACCAGCAAAGCCAACAACTTCAGACAGCAAACTTTAGAAAGCTTAGACACAATTCCAAAGTTGCGTAACTAATAATAAGCCTTAACTAATACTAAACCTACTATTCTGGACTCCTTTTTTATTCTTTAATTTTAAATATTATTATTAAATTATTTATATTTAAACCCGCTTTATACTCACTAGTTAAGTTATTGAAAATCTTGTACACGTTATTTAGAATTTTTCTATTGTACACAAACCGTAAGTTATACTTTATTAAGTTGCTTTCTTCACATTATGATGTTGGTAAAGTAAACAAATATATTTTTTTAATTTTTTCTACCATCTGAGTATATTTTGCATAGAAGGGGGCCCAACGAAATGCTACCATATTCTAATTTTGCCCTAAGTAAAGTAATATTAATATTGTTTTCTTTTACTGAAAACTTGATGACTATGCTTAAAAAATGTTGATCAAATCTCATACTTAATGCAAAGTTAATTGGATATTTCAAATTTTTTATGTGCTTGCATTTGTTTATATTAAAGGACAGATTATTAGAGAGTGGCCATATGAATTCTGTATATATTGCAAGAACTCACCAATCACTTACGTTTCTTATTGGATGGTGAAAAAAATATATATTGAGGGAAGTGTATACAATAAATTATTTCTCTTAACTTCCTAAGACATTCTTAGTGTAATAAATACGCCACAGTAGGACAGAGTAATTTTACGATATGAAGTTACCCATATTAGACACGAATAATAACCCGTGGAAATGCTTTTTTAGTTTTTGAATTCATATTTTAGGGTAGGATAAAGACATTAAGGTGAGGTGCGGTTTTCACTTATTTAAAACACTACACTGAAAAAATTGTTGCCTTAATACTTACCCAGAAAACTTTACATATGCATTTATATTTCTTTTTTTTTTGACACTTGTACGACAATATGCCAACATTCGCAATTCAAGTCTTTTGGAAATAAAGCTTTATATTTACCTGTATATGATTTTTTCATGAATTAAATTAAAAATCCTCAGTTATTAGTTAATTATAATTACTGGAAAATGAAGACTTTGAGTTTTAATGAATGCTTTATTACATTAAAATAAAAATAAAGTCACTCTACCTACATATTATTTTTTCCTATTAATAATTGGAATGCTTGAAAGCTAATTGCAGCTGCTTTTTCCATTATTAATTTTTTCTCGTGTCACATCTACATTTTGTGCATTTTCCTTCAGCCTTAGGGTACTTCTACAAAAAGCTGAAATGGCTAATTAAATAAGGAGAATAGTAAAAGCCATTTTGAGAGTAGGAAATTGTTTTATTTATAGGAAAAACCCTAGCATAAATTCTATTTTTGATGATTTAAAAAAAAAAAAAATTTTTCAACACCAGGATATGTTAGATTTTACAAGTGTTTTGCAGTACGCCACTTTTATTTCTTAACGGAAACACTTACGTCCGAAATAAAACAGGGGTGGAATCATTTAACGTGTTCGACAACTAAGTAAATCGCGAGGTGGACCTGTAAGGGTTATTTAATGATGTACACGTGCATCGTAAAGTTTAAATACGTGACAAAGACGGCCAGATGGAACCGCAAAGCGGTTGCTGCTGTTCAGATTTTTAAATATTGAAATGGCAATTAGAAATTTCGTTTATGCGCAATTAATAAATCAGTAATCTATTTTTTACAAAATTAACCAATGGTAAGTTTTTTGGTGTCAGGTGTGGGGTAGTTATCATCATCAAAATCACATTCCGATAGCATAATACCAGTATTTAGTTGGAAAGAAGAACGTTAAGTTAACTAAAGTTTTGTTCGTTGAGGCGAAATATACAGTGAATAATTATAGTGAATTTTAAAGCTTATATTAGAGTACAGAGGAGAAAAACTCAGCGATAAGCCTTCATTTATTTTGAGCATAGGATTGATTTTTGTGGTTTATTTTAGAAACGATTTCGTTAATATTAGTTTAATCAATTAAGTTAATTTTTTTAAATTTTTGTGGGAATTTTCAAAATCTTTGATTAAATTTAAAATAGAAAAGTAGTTGTAGTTTTCGCTCAATTGTAGGTACCGTGTGAATTAATTAATGTAATATATAGAACATAACATGAAAAAGTATGAATTCCCAGTGGGTTACGAAAAAAAAACGCAAAAATGCAATCACAAAATATGGTCCCATTTAAAAAAAAATAATTCGTCGCTTAGTATCTTTTGAAAAACTTTGATTAATTATTAATTACATTTGTTTATAATTTTGCTTATAAATCAGGAATTTTCCTTTGTTTGCAATCGGATACGACCTAACTCAGAGACAACCGTCGGGTTGAATTGGGGGTGGAAAAAAACCGACAGCGAAGAAAATTTTGCAGTGGACGTTAAAATTTTGGTCCCATGGTGGCGTGGCAAAACATAATTTTTGCGGTCTTAAACGAGTAATAAATTTGGCACTTCATTACTGTTTTCTCAGCAGAGCGTTTTATGATTAATAATTTTTGAAGAAGGGCGGGGATCGGACTTTTTTAATTGTTTCGCTTGTTCGCGATTAGATTTTCAATTTTGCCTTGTTTACTGTCGGCGTTTCGATTGTTTTGCTTTTGGTAAATTTTGGATAATTTGCCCTTATTAATAAACTCGCAGTTTTTGAAAAATTTCTGTAAGTATGATTAACTGTGAACTTCTCAATATACATTCTCTCTCTTATATATGGTTTTTGATTAATCACAAAATTAAATTTACATAATTTTACACAACTTTTCGAATTGGTTCTCCTTATTATAGCATTATCGATAAGGATGTGACTGCTTCTGGTCATTATTGTGAAATATTTTCATAAATAACATATGGCGAAATCTTAATATCAGTTTCCTATAAACCTATTTATTCATGATGAATTGAGGAGATGCCTTGCGACTAACAACACGCGATTAGCACATGAACTGAACGATTACATTACACTTATTTCGAAAATAAATTCTAATTGCACCGTGAAACAATTGACATAACAGAATATTAAAAATTCTGCTAAGTTAAAAACTGCCTCGTTGCAATTTTTTCTAGGAGGTAAGGGACAGGGCTCCCTATAGCTACAACTTTTATAATAAAGAAAAAACAGAAAAAAATATTAAAATCTTACAGAATGAACTGACGGAACAATAACTTCCATTTATTCTTTAAACTAAATTAATAATAATTATTATTATTATAACAAATGCCTTTTATTGTGTAATGTATCATCAACAAAAGTGTATTGCAATGAATTTATCACGACAACTCCTGCGCAGTCTAGTCTAAAAGCTACTCAACTGAACATTTAACAAAAATTTAAGCTTTTCAGGGTCAGTACCGATTAAAAAAAATTAATAATAATAACAATTAATAATAATAATAAATTAAATGAAATAAAAAAATATGAAAATATTACTGTTAGTTTTAACCGAATTTAACATAATTTTTTATATGTGCATTTGAAAGTTTTAACATTGAGACTTAAACAGTGTTTGGGTATTGAATTGTAACAACGCACTGCGTTATCCGAAAAGGTGGCGCATTGTAAGTTAAATAGTACTTCTAATATTTAAATTTTGTACGTTATAACAAAATATTAATCGCTGCCGAATAGAGGCAAGGGGTTCGTTAATAATTTAATTAAAAAACAACTAAAATGTAGATTTCTACGAGCATCCATGACTAAATCCATTAAAGTTATGGAGTAGTTTGGAACCAATTACGTATTTATTATTTACTATATATTATTATGTTATTTATTATTATTTATTATGTATTGATTATCTAGCAATGAAGTACAATATTTTCACGTCATTCGTACACTACAATAACATATTGTTGCTTATACTCAAATATTTTAAATTATCGCCTACATTCTCAATGCAGTCGCAATTTTTATTTCTTTTTTATCATAATAGCAGCGAAGTTCCATCAACTAAAATTATTAAACATTTCATTCTGTCCCATTTATTGATTTTCTTTCCGTATTTCTTTCATAGATTATTCTTTTGCTATGTCCTACTTGTTGGTTGGGCTTCACGTTTAGGAAAGATTTTTAATAAATACAAAGAAGCGGTGCAGTTTTTCGATTTCACACCCTTTGTTATAAGATATAAATAAAGTAGCGTCGGTATGGGAGGTTGACCTATACATTATTGCATACTGTTATAATAATAATAAACCTATATACATTTTCAATATAATAATTCAATATAATAAACTGAACCAAAGACGAAGTATAACTGATATTCTTTCAGTTGACTTCCGAAACGAAAAAAAAAAAATGCATAAATAATAACTAAAAAGCTTTAGCAGCACAATGGGAGAAAAATTCCACATTCCATAGTTGGGTTTGCATATACAAAAAGGAGACGACTAGACCATGTGCTCCTGGAGTGGTTATCAGATAAAATAATCAGCCCCTTAGATTAATAATTTGGTTAGTTTTGGTGACCCTCCATATTAACTCACCCTAGTTCACGAATTTTAAGCGATATATGCTAAGCGAAAAGACGTAGTCATAAGCTTCCGTTTGCCTTGACTGAATTTTTGGCAAATTAGTTTTGTTTATAGTTGATTCAATGAAGAACTATCCACACTTTAATCAAAAATATACGTCATCATTAACCCGACTATTCTTAATTAATGATTAAAAATATAAAGAAACTTATAATT